CCTTCCAGTATGGCAAGTCAACGAAAATTGATTTCTTTTTCCATATGTTATTAGGATCAGTTCCTGTTGTCTGTATGCCTTTCTTTGAAATCTTCTTCCTCTTTGTGCTTTTCCTCTTCCTTTATGTGCATTTCTATGCAGTCGTCTTCCTCTCTATGCCTTTCTTTCCAAACATTTTTCTTGTTGTGTCTTTCTTCCAGTCATGTCTCTTTGTGTACATTTCTTTCCCCAATCCCTTCCAGCTAATTCAGAAGCACATAAAACTTCTTTACCTATCAATACCCTTGGTTTTTTGTCCAATAGTATACTTCCCATCAAACCATTTACCCTTCTTGCGAAATTCATGAGAAGGTGGAAGAAATCTTCTATTGACCGTATATACATGTTTTTTACTAATCGACAACTTCAAAAACCGTGTGTCAATACCACATGCCGCAAGCGCAAATCTACCTTAAGTGGGATAATCATAGATTTTCCACATCAGAGTAGCCCTCAAATTGAAAATAGAATTGGTAATTGCCTCAAATACACCCACTCCTTCATTCCACAATACATATAAATCTTCCATGAGTAATTGCAAGTAAACATCAATATTGTTTCCTGGTTGTTTCCTCCCATGAATTAGCATGTCAACATTAAATTCTCCTTCGACATGGCTAACCATGGAGGAAGATTGTATGTAACTAATACAACTGGCCATCAACTATATCTAGAGTTTAGCTGGCGACATGAGTTAATTCCATCAGTAGCTAAACCAACAAGCTTCATGGATCTAATGCAAAATCAGGATACTTAATGTCTATAGATTCCCATGCTGGCGAATTAACTCGATGTCGTATCTTACCATCCTTACTTTTGTTGATATGGTGTCATGTTAAGTCTTTAGCCATGTCATCATCATTAAACATTCATTTAAATCTTGGTATAATGGAAGTAGCGCAACACCTTCGCAAAAACTCCTTTGTGAATGTGATTATGACGTTTATCAACTTGCCAACGTGAAGAACCACACTTTGGACATGTCTCAAGTTGTTCAAAGTCTTCCATATCAAGTAACAATCATTTACACATGCATCTATTTTCTCAAACCCTAAATGAAACACCTTAAGTAACTTCTTTGTCAAATTCGTTGAATTCGGAAGTGTATTACCTTCCAGAAACATGTCCTTTAAGGCTTGGACAAGCTTGTCCAAAAGCTTATCTATTGCATCAATTGAAGCTTTAATCTTGTGTACAACTAAGGTTGCTGACAATTTTGTGTACTTTGTACAACCTTCATATAAAAGAGCTTCAACATCTTCAACCTTTTGTTTGAAATTCTCATCTCCTATTTGTGATGTGAGTTTTCTAGTTGCATCATCTTCAGCCAAGACATCTCTATACATATGATATGTTTTTTTTCATATTGGCATAGTCATGTTGTTCAAGAATGGGTTCTTGTTCACCATGGAATAGCCAAGTAGTATATGAAGGATCCATTCCATTCATAACCAAGTGTCCATGCGCAACCTCAGGTAGTTGAAAATATTGGTTTTGACATATTATATATGGGCAAATGATCTTATCTCGGTTTCCTCCATATTCTTTAGCTACTTGTACAAACTTTGGTGCACCCTCTTTGTATTCTGTTGATGGTCTGTAGTATAAATAAATCTTAATCACTTCAAACAAAACCTAATTATCAATGTCAAAAATGAAATTCATTGAGGTAGATAATATACCTTGAAAATGTCAGCCAATCTTTGTCCATTTTCAATCAGATAATTGATAATGATCGTTTCCAACAATGCTTCTCAATTCCAAATAAAAAATAGCCCTAAAATAACCACAACTCACAACTTAATGGCAAAATATAATGAAATATGATACACACACATACACATTATATATATTTATTTAAGTATAACTTGTATCAACACTTAAATTACAATTTACAAATATGAAATTAATACAAGCACGAAGTCATTTACTAATACGTACGATTCATATAAACAAGACACATAGAAACCATCTTCTTAGCAATCAATACCTTGATTGGATTACACTTTTCAAAAGAGAGTAAAATATTGAAAATTAGAAGCCATCGTACCAATTACAGGTTCAATTAGAATTCTAACTTCTCATCACTTTGATTATGTGACATGTGTTCTACACTTATATGATTTTCTTCTCCTTCCACTTAGCCATTGACCAAAAGAAAACCACCTTGACAGATAAAAAGAAATTAATATATTTTTTGAATAAGTGGGACAAAATGCTTGAATATGGATATATAGATCGAGGACATCCAAAAAATTTTAAAGATGGAAAAGATGTGTACGAGCATGAAACCTCTAGCCAAGAAGTGCATGTGGGTTGTGGAGGTCATCTGAGTCATCAGACGGTGCACAACACATGGTTAGTGAACCTAATTTCAATAGCAAGTGCTGCTCCATGACACAATCCTCATAACATGGTGTTGATTTTGGGGCATGAAGTACAATCCTTTATTGACTTGAAAGAACAAAACAGTAAAAACACATGTTCTCAACTCAAATTTTATTTATTTATGATGATGATGTGAAAAGTGTGTGCTTGTGAATGAAAGTGTGAGAGAGTGAAACGTCGGAAGAGAAATTTTCCAAGCTATAAGCCATAAGAATGCATGCATATCCAAGTTCAATGATCAATAATAATTTAAATGCTTATTCAGAACAAGAAAGCAGATTCAAAAGGTAGAGCATAAAAGAAACCTGTGTGAAGGAGAGAGGTTGCCACTGATTGAGGAAGAGATGGAGAGACGAGGCCAAGACCGTAGATGGAGGAGATGGAGAAACAAAAAGATTGACATTGTTCTAGTTTCTTTTTAGGGTTTTGTTCGTTGAACATGAGGGGAAAGCAAATAATTGGGAATTCTAGATTTTAATATCCTCCAAAATATATATTAAAAAGACATATAAACATCCACCACGAGAGGTGTGGTGAATTTTCAAAATACGGTGTGGTAGGTTGAAGTAACCACTACGAGCATACATTTTGATATTCCATCATAGGTTTAAATGCTTGCTGTAGATTATTCACTTTTAACAATGAGTCCAGTATGACTGTGGTGGATTAGTGTTATCTACCACGCAATAAACGAGGCTGTGGTAATTGAATAGTTTTTACCATGAGCTATAGATGCCTATGGTAGAACTGATGTGGTAAATATGTTGTTATGCTGTAGTGGTAGTCCGATCTAGATTCAACCACACATCTAATCTGGATTCAACCGCACGTCTAATCAACTCCATTCTCCCCTCGCTAGAGATCTAGGCAATCTACTGAATCACCCCTCCGTCTGCAGTTGTGTGCGGTTTTGGTTCCAACAAGACTTGCATTTGGTCATTGTGCCGATTAGATGAGACACTTCAACAACTAACACGACAATTACTTGAGTATTCACACACTTAAGAGCAAGTGTTGTATATTAATTATAGCACATGTGTAATTGTGTAATGCATTCTCTAGGGCAACTAGACGAAGGGGAATCCTACATACTTGCATCATGAGCTTCCTGAGGCAAAAAATTAAACCAAAGATGTCCCTCAGCAGAAGTTTGACCAACCAAGGCAAGAGCCTGAGTCACAAAATTGACCTCGTAAAAACCATGCCCAAAGCAAAAGGACTGAGAGTGACAAGTCACAAACACCTCTATCAATATTGCCTCATGTTGGGTTGCATTCAGACCTTCCTTCCATTTTCTTGTTGATCATCATCTTCTAGGACAAAGCCTCAAGTTGGTTCGTAGTCCGGTGTAGAAATTGAACCACTAGTTCATTCTCCACCTAGACGATATGTTTATTTTCCCAATCAAAATGAGGTTCTTAATAACGATGTCAAACTGAGTATCAATCTCCAAGGCTCGTTGTCCATATCCTTTTCTCTCATATAATCTCGATGTACATCATTTTCTTCTTATGAAGGAGGTAGTGTGGATGACCGTATTAGCTCAAAACATATATCACCTTGGGTGTGGAGTGGAGTTGACCTTTATGGCTCATGGCCATGGTCAACTGTGATACAAATTGATACGTTTAAATAATAGAATGACCATGAGCATGGTCAACCATAATATCATTATTGACATGAACAAAGTATTCTGTCAATTCACATGGACTGTGTCTTTATTATTGTCTAGTTATCTGATGCTGGGCCAATTAAACTGCTAGATAAAAGCTCATAGTAGCCTTGGCGCACGGATGTGTAAGTTGGGTGGGGGTGGGTGGGTTGTGCAATTTGTTCACAACATCATTGTTGCTCTTGGACGCTTTGTTGTAGTAACATTTGACTTCCAATTTGTTGGCTTCGATTTGTAAGAGATTTTTCGTGTTACAATTTGAACAGTATTGTTGCACACATGCTGGGCTTGGACACTTGGTTGCAGGAATGTCTTCCAGTTTGTTGGCTTCAATTTGTACTAGTTTTTCTTGTATCAATAGTATTGATCAGTGTTGTTATTAACACTCTAAAAACAATCAGATAATTTGATCTATACATGCATTAATCTTTTCTATAAGAAAATTACAAGAATAAAAAGACAAAACAAACATACAAATTGTACATATTAACAACAGAAACACAGGAACTACTGATTAAAAGAATTCAAATAGTATCAATTAATAACATTTACATTGCACAACTAATATCACCATGCAGTCATTAAAAATCGCAGATAAAAATTAACAGAAAATTAAAAAAGAAAATATATCACCACCACCTTTACCACGATCACCAAATACTTTAGCCCTTAAATTTAGCTTCACATTTTTGCTGCAGGACTTTTGTACCCTTCCCCAATGTACTCACCTGGAAATGGCATTCAACTTCGGTCTCCATTTTCCATGTCTTGATAAATCCTTTCACCTTCACCGAAAGGTCCATTTTCAAAGTTAAGGGCAGATGCATCTTCGAATTAGTATTTTCTATACTCTTCTCGACCTCACGAGGCAAAGCTCCTTTCGATCCGTCGAGAACAAGCTTTACAGTGGCAGAACTATCTTTTCTTGTTTCTTTAATGGAAATTTTCCTTTGCCAATGCTTTTTTCCTTCAACAAAAGGGAAGCCCCTTCACTACCTTCGTAGTTTATGCCATGTCCATTTGGATTATTTACCTTCACCGAGACCTCATAGCCTGGATGTGAATTCTTGCCAGTATCAGATTTTGATTTCGGGTTCTTCACGTGGACATTCGAAATTGAAAATTTAGGCTCTTTAGGTTTCACAGTGAGGGATAATGAAAGCAATGTTATGAAAAGTATGAGGCACAGAGAAAACACAATTGCTCCGATTATCAAGCAACGAATCGTGCAGCATGGGGACTTCTTCTTGTTTTCCGGGTTCCGGTGACGTTCAACAATTAAGGCATTTTCAGGGGGTGGCACGCGGTAGATCTGGTCTTTGGGGATTTGGACTACGTAGGTGTTTGCTCCGGGGAAGGGAGGTGGCGGTGGGCGGAGTACTAACTGCATCTCTGACTGGGGAGGGTCCTCGTTTCCATCATCGTCGCCTGCTGCCGCAGCAGGTGGGCCCCGCTCCTCCATTGTAGAATGGGGAGCGGTTCACAAGAGAGGTGGTGTGGTGAAGGTCGATAATAAGGGGAGAAACTGATGGCATGCATGAGAATTGAGAGGAGGTGGCATGTAAGATTGATTGGAAAATTGAAGGGTGAGGAGGGTGGGAGGTTACAACTTACATAACTAAGAAAAGATTAGGGTAGTGAAACATTGAGTACAACAGCTCTTAGGCAGCCATGATTCGTCCAATCACATATCCTATTTTTGGGTGTTTTACTTGGTCAATGTAGAAGGTACTTGACAACTTGTTGCTGCCCTGAATTTTTCATATTCTTAATATGTATGTATGCTGTCATTCCCTAAATTATTGTTATTTTACAAGCTATTTTCTGTCTATTGTTACCTCGATTAGCCTACGACAACGTTGACAAGTTTGTTGTATCGGATCTATATGGTTCTAATATCTGCACATGCGTCTAATGTTGTTGTGCTTTCTTCCATCATCCATATATTTCAAGAGAAATTTTTAGTTGTGAAGGGAACACAAATGGTACCCCACGTGTTTTAATAAGAGTGGTGGGAAATTTTGTTTTTTAAGTTATTAACTTTTTAGCACACATATCAAACCATTTATATAATGATACGTGATATATCATTTCATGTACCAGTCACATTGAAAACTCTCTCATATTTCAGCTAGTCTACTCTTTAATGTTTAATATGTAATAAAGGTTTTTTTTTAATTAGCCATAGTTTTACACCTCCACACTCTCTCCAATTATTTATAGGGAGTTTTAATGAAAAGGGCTTGGGGCAACTTTTTCTTAATAAAAAACCATTAACAACTTTTATTTAATGAAAAGGGCTTGACATTTAATGAAAATGACACAAGTAACATACAATAGGCCAAAAAAAAACAAAAGTCCCACGGGCTGAAGCAAAGCCCAGCATGCAACATCAAAATTTTCTTCCAGCTTTGTCCCTAACAGATGTTAACCAAAATCTGTTAATATAACTTCATATTATTTACGAAATTGCCATCGAGCCCAAAAGTCAAATAAAACAAAAACTAATTCATTTTCAACTTTTTTTTTTTCCTGAAACGGTTGCAATCATTCCACCAATTGAAAACCCATATCATGACAATTTTTATTCCCAATTTGATAATTTATTTTAACATTTGCTCCAAAGCTGGCAACCCACTTTTGTTACTCAAGAATAGCTAGAACAAAATAATCATTCACTAGATCATAACTGCCATAGATCTGCAATTAACTTTTTTTATTTACAGGTCGTGTTTAACATTCTTTAGGAATAAAAATTGTCATGTTGTTTATTCCAAATATTTATTCACCTTTGACCCGAGTTTTAATGAAAAAGGTTTTTTCAAACTTTTTATTAACCAAAAATCATTTACTAACTTTATTTAATAAAAATGACTTAAACTTTAACGAAAAATGACAAAAACTAGAAAGAACAACCAAAACAAGGAAGCCTCACGTGCAAAATAAGAAATTCATTTTGCATCCATGCCCCTGCCTTCTGTCAGCCCACTTTTGTTAGAATTAAACTTTCATTTATTTACAAATATGCAATTTTCTAGAGGATTCGTCAAAAATAAAAAAATAAAAAAAAACTTTTGCCAGTTGATACCAATTAACCCCCAACATAATTAAGTATCTCCAATTCCTCACCTCGCCTCTCATCAAATAAATTCAAAAAAATTTAAATTCCACAAATCACTACACAATAATGAACTTTAGATTGGAAAATGACATAATTTCACCGAGTGTATCACATTGCACATTCACTTGTATAATCCAAACTTCTACACAAATCACTACAAAATAATGAAGGTTAAGGGAAGATTTCTTGGATCAATGAAACTTAAAGTGCGAGACTCACATCAACGTTTATGATTATGTTTTTTTTTTTTTTTTTTTATTTGTTTGGTCTGAATTATGTTTTGGAAACTAGTTTATGATTATGTTTTGGTCTGAATTATGTTTGGAAGTCTCATGCAATTGCCTTGGATCTATCTCATTATAAAATTGAACTCATGTGTGTGTGTGTGTGTGTGTGTGTAGTGTTTCGTTTGAGAAATAATCAGTGTTTAGTTTTACGAAACAGTGATAGTACTAGTGTTCTGTTTAATAAATAGTCAGTGTTAGAGTGATAGTACTAGTGTTCCGTTTAATAAATAGTCAATGTTTAGTTTACGAAACAGTGATAGTAGTAGTGTTCCGTTTGATAAATAGTTAGTGTTTAGTTTACAAAACAGTGATAGTACAAGTGTTCATTTGATAAATAATCAATGTTTAGTTTACGAAACAGTGATAGTACTAGTGTTCCGTTTAAGAAATAGTCAGTGTTTAGTTTACGAAACAGTGATAGTACTGTTGTTTGTTTGATAAATAGTCAGTGTTTAGCTTACGAAATAGTAATAGTACTATTGTTCCGTTTAAGAAATAGTCAGTTTTTAGTTTACGAAACAGTGATAGTACTATTGTTCGTTTGATTAATAGTCAATGTTTAGTTTACGAAACAATGATAGTACTAGTGTTCCGTTTAAGAAATAGTCAGTGTTTAGTTCACAAAACAATAATAGTACTAGTGTTCCGTTTGAGAAATAATCAGTGTTTTATTTACGAAACAGTGATAGTACTAGTGTTCCGTTTAATAAATAGTCAGTGTTTAATTTACGAAACAGTGATAGTACTAGTGTTCGTTTGATAAATAGTCAATGTTTAGTTTACGAAACAGTGATAGTACTAGTGTTCTGTTTAAGAATTAGTCAATGTTTAGTTTACGAAACAGTGATAGTATTATTGTTCGATTGATAAATAGTGTTCGTTTGATAAATAGTCAGTATTTAGTTTACGAAACAATGATAGTACTAGTGTTCCGTTTAAGAAATAGTCAGTGTTTAGTTTACGAAACAGTGATAGTACTAGTTCCGTTTAAGAAATAGTCAGTGTTTAGTTTACGAAACAGTGATAGTACTAGTGAATCAAAGACTCTTAATATGGTGATTCGAAAAAAATGGTGAATTCGAATGGAATTGAAAATGAAAACAGAGATTAGGAAGCAACGAACAATTCAACTTGTGATACGGAAGCACTCCATACTCAAGCTGTAAAGGGCTGCAAAGAAGAGACCACCGAAACAGTGGCAATATGAAAAGAAAATTTACAAAACGAAAACATAATACTAAGAATAATTGACAAGGAACAAAAACCAAAGTTGAGATGAATTGAGCTACAAGGAAAGCACTTCACCCTTGCAATTTTCCAAGATAGTTAAAAGATAAAATGTGCGCATGCATCATTGAGAGGGTTCTCAGATATACTATTCTTAAACTGAACATTATATTATTACTATTTCTTAAACTGAACCTAGAACTGAGCACGAGTACTATCACTATTTCTTAAACTGAACATGCATAAAACAAAAACACAATTACAGGGCACCTACAGATACAACAATAACACCACATAAATTTTCATGCACAAATCCATGATTTTCATTCACAAAAAGATGTCAAACCTTCCAAAAACACATGTGTGCTCAGATTATAGTCAGTGCAGTCAAATGTAATTTCGCAAACCAGACCAGACATTGAATCTACATAATAGATATAGTCGCCTAAAACCACTGCCCTACCGGAAATACCAAAAAACCTGTTGGGTTTAGATACACAATGCCACTTTTTCTCATGCACATGATAGGCAAATAATCTGTTGCTAATCGAAACCAAAATATGATCATTGCAGACTGCATAACCAGCTACAATGTCATGTAGATTATGACGAAGATCGGGGAGAATTCTTGGCAGATCTTTCCAAGTGTCAGAACCAAGATGATAACACTGAAAGGGGCTCGACAGCTCCCCATGGACCCTTGGCTGTGCAAGGTAATAACGGTTGTCATAGGCAGAAATGAGAGCTCCACATGGTTCCAGTGAATCGGGGGCCTTGAATTTACCTGTTAACTTGTGATGAGGGTCAAAAGTACGTCCCATAGACAACCACTTGGTGGAGGTGCCTATTCCCAAATCGCTTTCCCATACAGGAAACAACATATATAACTTCCCCTTGAACCAATGACTTAACAAGACACGACCTGAGGGGAAAATCCAACTGTATCTACCCTTGTCTTGATCACCATGCTTGCCACAATCACCACCGCCGTTGGGTTGTGATACTTGATATAACTCAGCTTCCCCATTTTTATTCGTGAAACACTCCACTAATACAAAAACAGATTTAGTATCCATGAACACGAAGATGGAACAGGTTTTTACACGAAGATGGAACATATGGAACATATTTAGTATCCTAATTTAGTTGGATTACATAATATCAACTAAAATGGAAAATGTTTTTACAGAATAATTCTTGAAAAATCGAAAAAAAAAAAACAGAGAGGAAGAAGAATTACATAATATCAATCCTAATTTAGCAACGGTTTGAGAATTTTGAGTACCTTTTTGTTGATTGATGAGGCTTCGATCGGAATCGGACTTGGAATTGGGGATTTTAGAGAGGGAAGAAGGTGAGCGGAGAGAGAGAGGGAGAGGGGGGTGCACGGGAATTAGGTTGTCGAGTGTGAAAATAGATAGCAATTGGATCAATTTGTACGGGAGTACTTGGAGAAATTTGAAATGGAGGATCAGATGTATATCCATTACATACTTCTTTTGAATGGGCATAGTATGGAAACGACCTTCATGGGCGCAGTCACGCAGAGCTTAGCAACGACATTCGTCAAACCTAACGTTGGAGCAAGACTGATGTTAGGGGGTAAAACCGGTAGTTCGATAAATTATTTTGTTTGGGCCAATCTTAATGGGCTGGTTTGACATTAGGTTTTGTCCTAACCATTAAATAAAACTATTACCTGGTTTTTGGTTAAAATTCAAAATATTGAAGCCCTTTTCATTAGTTTTCCTTTATTTATATTCTCTGTTCTTATTCCATTCATTAAAAACAATCCATTTAATTCCACTCAATTTTTGTTTTTAATTT